ATAATAACTTACGCGGCGCCCATATGGTGGAATTGTAACCATACAACCATGGAAAAAATACGAATGTTTGAAAGAAAATGTTTAAGAGCTTGTATTCGAATGTATAGGTCACAACTTTCAAAATGGCAACATTATGTTAATAACAGGACGATTTACAACAAAGCTGGTATTCCGAGAATCGACTCATTCATAATAAAACTTACAAGAGATTATCTTAGCAAACTACCATTCATTAAGAATGATATAATTCACTCTCTATCAGTTCTGGATTCCATTGTCTCACAATGCCAAATTACCATTGGGTACTTATCGCCCCAAGCTTTTATACACTGTGATAAGCTAGGGTTAATTCAAAACGCAAATAATATTAATCTCATTTACCATTGGAGACGAAATAAAGCCAATAAAAGAATTGCGTTTCAACATTCTGATTTTGTAATAAATACGAATAAATTTAAGTTCACTTTTGCGCTACCTGATATTGATCTCATGGACTTCCACCGGCTGAATATTAAAAAGTATTGGTGGTTGTCGATCAACGACACACATATATCTGAGCTTAGAGAGCGTAGATTAAGCTCTCTTAGACCTTAATAGTATTTAAATATTTCGAAGGGGCTGTGAGTAATTATTAGACGATAACTTTCCTATCTAGGGAAGTTAAATCATGTTGTAAATAATGTATATATTGAAATCTCCTTCCTCTTTCTCTTCTATCTCTTCTCTCTTGATTTCTCTCTGTCCCTTAGTTTTTAAATTAGTCTTAAGTATTAGAGCACCAAAGATTGTTGATGGGGGTTTTTATAATTATGTTTTCCCCGAATTCCAATATTCAAGACTGATTAGAGTTAATCGCTATTACTCTGTTATATTTTAAGTGCCATTAATACTATATGTTACTTTAACCAAAGATGTTTATCGATAAGTTGCACAGCGAGTGCACAAGTAGATAGAAATTGCAATAACTGTCTGGTTTTTTTCTTCTATGTTTGTTGTTACCTATTTTAACTAAATGTACTTTACTCTTGCAATAAACAAGTTTATTAAAAAAAAAAGGTCCCACCAGCTGTAGCCCTACTGATGAGTCTGGCTGGTGGCACCGAGACGAAACGCCCACCTCCCTTTCTCGTCCTTCAATCCGTTTCTCTCCTTTATTCCCCGGCCTGCTCCACACTAGTGATGGGCACCATCGACTAAATTAAACTATCAACTAATGATTATTTAGTCGCAACATACTATCGACTATTTAGTCGATAGTTTTTAGTTGACTGAAATTTTGCTTTATAGGTTATGTATAGATTATGTCATCAACTTTTCAGTACCATTGGTGTATTTAACTTTTGGAAATGTATTAGTTCATAGATAGAATTTCAAAAATATAAGTGGTAAACAAGTTTTTTAAAACAATTACTAATATTCGATTTTTTGTAAGCTATTTAATATTGGCACTAGTGATGGGCACCATCGACTAAAAACTATCGACTAAGTCGATAGTAACCAACGACTACTTTTAGTCGACTAATTTTTTTAATCGTCGACTACTTTAGTCACTTGAAGCGACTAACTTCAGACGAATAATGTTAGTCGCTTGAAGCGACTACCTTCAGACGAATAATATTAGTCGCTTGAAGCGACTGACTTCAGACGAATAATGTTAGTCGCTTGAAGCGACTACCTTCAAACGAATAATATTAGTCGCTTGAAGCGATTACTTTCAGGCGACTACTTTAGTCGATTAAATTTAGTCGCTTCAAGCGACTCGCTGGAACTATCGAGCTATTGATCGCTATTGACTGGATCTTGATTATTTTTTTTGCAATGCAAACGAATTGTAATTTTTCCATATATTTTTTTATGCATTACCTTGTAAACTAATCGTTTAAATTTCGCCGAAAAAGTCAGATCGTTAATTTTAAAAAGTTTATTTAATTGCTTAGAGTGCACGAATACTTTCGTGCCTCTTTTATATTAATAAGAAATTTTAAGTATTACTAAGAAAGAAGACGAACCAACTAGAACGTATTATCTCAGAATTCGACTCTGTCACTTGATAATGTAAACATCTAAAACTCTAAACATTACAGGAAGCAGGGGTGGGCTAGTATTACTAACGAAAATAAAAGATTCGTTCTTTAATTCTTTTACGAAGATTTATATATATTATATTTTACTGTTTATTATACATAATATTAATACGTTTATTATTAATATTGATACATTAATATTATGTAATATTAATCGATATTAATAATATTATTGTAAGAAAAAACGATAAAAATGCAAATAAATAAGTCGTAACTATTAATGTTGAATCGATAATTTTACAAAAAGGTTTCGATGCTCGCCAGCTGAGAAGAACGATTCTTCTGTCCGGAAAAGCCCCTTTCTTTTCGTCAACGTTTGCTTTTCAAGTGCTTGAAGTCCCTTATCGGCAACTGTGGTATCACTATCCAGATGTCCTACAATCCTTACATCAAAACAATGGGACATCATAGAAGACATAATACCATTATTGAAACCAATAGAATATGTAACTTTAGAGTTGTGTGCTGAGAAATATTCAACAGCTTCAAAAATCATGCCATTAATAAGAAGAATTGAAAACGCCATCCAAAACTTCAGGATTTACTAACCAACGTGCAAATTCATAAGAATAGACGTACAAACCCAGAAGAAGAAGAACCACTTAATCAGGATGCAGGATTTTGGAATTTTTCTGTTGATAAAGTTTCCCATCTAACTAGACAGTGCTCTACACCTTTAGAAACCGCAACAAATATAACAAGGCAATATTTAGATCTGCCTTACGAAAGTATTAAAAGTGATCCCATTGCATTTTAGAATACACATGGCCACACAATGCCTGAACTAAAAAAAATTAATAAAAAATATTTATGTACACCTGCAAGATCTGTTCCATCAGAACAGATATTTTCCAAAGTTGGACAGATTATGTCAGAAAGAAGAAATAGTCTATCGTCAAAAAATTTAGATCAACTCATTTTTTGAAATTGTAACATGGAATAACACAGGTCAAAATAGCAGGTAATTGTATAATATTTTTTTAGATGATATTATTTTATTTTTCAATTCCTAATATAGCAATATTTATATCTGTCCTAGGAGAAAGAAGAAATGACAACATTAACTATCGAATAAAATTTGGTATGTATAAAAAATTAAACAATCCCATAATTTTAAATACCTGCTATTGTGACAACACTTATTTGATTTTAAAGAATTTTTCCAAGAACTGTGCAAATTATTGCTTATAACCTAATTGAATTTCACAAAAAATGTAGAGCAGTTAATTTTTTAAGTGCCAATATCAAATAGTTTACGAAAAATCGAATATTAGTAATTGTATAAAAAAACTTGTTTACCACTTATATTTTTTCTTAATAAATTCCCAAAAGGTAAATACATCAATGGTGTCATGAAAATTTGACGATATAATCTATACATAACCACTAAAGCATAATTTCAGTCGACCAAAAACTATCGACTAAATAGTCGATAGTATGTTGCGACTAAATAGTCGTTAGTCGTTAGTTTTATTTAGTCGATGGTGCCCATCACTAATTGGCACTTAAAAAATTAACTGCTCTAAATTTTTTATGAAAATCAATTAGGTTATAAGCAATAATTTGCATAGTTCTTGGTAATGCATAAAAAAATATATGGAAAAAGTACAATTCGTTTGCATCGCGAAGAAAATAATCAAGATCCAGTCAATAGCGATCAATAGCTCGATAGTTCGAGCGTGTCGCTTGAAGCGATTAAATTTAATCGACTAAAGTAGTCGCTTCAAGCGACTAATATTACTCGCCTGAAAGTAATCGCTTCAAGCGACTAATATTAGTCGCCTGAAAGTAATCGCTTCAGGCGACTAATATTATTCGCCTGAAAGTAATCGCTTCAAGCGACTAATATTATTCATCTGAAGTTTGTCGCTTCAAGCGACTAATATTATTCGTCTGAAGTCAGTCGCTTCAAGCGACTAATATTATTCGTCTGAAGGTAGTCGCTTCAAGCGACTAACATTATTCGTCTGAAGTTAGTCGCTTCAAGTGACTAAAGTAGTCGACGATTAAAAAAATTAGTTGACTGAATGTAGAGATGGCGTGAACTGCTACTTGTGAATCACTCGTGATTCGATCACGTTCGTTCCCAATCACGATGATTTTTCACAGTGATTCGTGATTTCCCGTGATCGTTTCTTATTGGTGGAGAAACCTAACAGTTCTTTACACGCGATACATAATTTGTATATTTCACATTAACGACATCAAAACAAAAATTAGGGTTATATCGTATAAAGTGAAGGAATAAGTAAAAACAATGAAGATTAATGAATAAATTAATGATTACAAATTATAATCTACATGTTACCTAGCAAATCATTTTTTTAGAATTTCTTGTTTTTGCTACTGATGTTTACAAACACGAAGAGTAATGTAATTATCGTAAAATCATATTGAATACGTTTTTCTGTTTAAAGATCAAGGACTTACGATCGCAGTTAGCAAATTCACCCAAGATAGAAAAATCGCAATCACGGTTGTGAATGAAGTTAAATCACGACCGTGATCGTGATTCGGCGATCACTGTGATAAATCACCGCTAGTGATTTTGCACGCCATCTCTGACTAAAAGTAGTCGTTGGTTATCGACTTAGTCGATAGTTTTTAGTCGATGGTGCCCATCACTAGAGTTAAGCTTCATTGTCAATTGGAAATGCACTGCTAACAGTAATTGGTTATAAGCAGTTATGAGAGCCACTGGCTTCTAACGAAGCGTCTGCTTAGTTAATAGTTCGTTTAAAGGATGGGGTATATTCTTTATTTCATAGTACTACGTTGAAGAAAACGTAAAAATCATTCAATAAATGAAAATCCGATAAAGTGCACGAGGAGCGGATCGATCGTTCGTCATGAATGAAGATTGACGAATGACGCCTTACGAGCTCCTCGTAATGTTCACAATTAAAAAATCCTATTAAAAGTGTTAGAATGGCTGTCATTAGTTTAATAATTATCTTGACTGCGTGCTTTTTCAAACTTGTGCTTTTTTCGAATGGTAGGTAATATTTATTAGTGTATTTAAAATCGAACTTTAAAATGAAGGTTATGGTATAACTTCTTATATGCTACAAAATATCATAAATTATGTTGGTCTATTTTTGTATAATAACGATTAGAGTTATTCTGATTATTATATGTTGTTGTGTTTATTAGAAATATGTACTTATGACTATTCGGATAATATAATTTCAAATATCTCAAAGTCATTAATTATTGTATATTTTAGGATCACCAACACTCCTGTTTGTCACACAGAAAGATATCAGAATGGCAAATGTCTCTCGTGCTAATAAAGTCACTACTATAGTAAAAGATCTTTCTGAAGCAGCAGCCTTAGACTTTTATTTTGAACAAGAATTGGTGTGCTGGTCAGATAGTGGTTTAGAAACCATTCAGTGTGTACAAACGAATGGTACTCACACTGGTGAAAGAATGGTTGTAGTGAATTCTAGTTTGATTTCTCCAGATGGTCTAGCCTGTGATTGGTATACAGGAAAATTATATTGGACTGATGGAGAAAAAAATAGAATAGAAGTAACCAGCATCAATGGACATCACAGAAAAGTCCTTTTTTGGACAGATATATATCAGCCAAGAGCCATTGCTCTCGTACCAATGAAAAGTATACTTTTTTGGACAGATTGGGGTGATGTACCCAAAATAGAAAAGGCTGCAATGAATGGAGATCCATTGACAAGGGAAGTAATCATTTCTGAAGATATATTTTGGCCAAATGGTTTAACAGTGGATTATGAAAATGAGTTGGTTTATTGGGTGGATGGAAGACTTAAATTTATTGCAGTAATGGATTATTATGGAAAAAATAGACGTAAAGTAGTGGAACAAGGATTAGATTATCCTTTTGCTGTAACATTTTTTGAACATAGATTATATTGGACTGACTGGAAAACATGGTGCATACAGTCGTACGATGTACGTCACAATCAAGCACATCCTAGAGAATTGATACATGGAGAATATATTCCTGGTGATATAGAAGTATGGGATGTTAGACGACAACCACATGGAAATCATCCTTGTGAAAAAAATAATGGGAATTGTTCACATTTATGTCTTTTGAGTTTGTCAGAACCTGGTTATACCTGTGCATGCCCTACTGGTGTTAAGTTAGTAAATAATTTGACTTGTGCCGAAAGACCAGAAGAGTTATTACTGATAGTTCAAAGAAATGAGATTTGTCGAATATCTTTGGATTCTCCTGATTATACCAACTTCGTATTACCATTAACAGGTATAATTTATTTTTTTATATCATTATATTTTTTATCATATTTTTTGCAAATTACTTGTAAATTATAGGATATTTTATGTTTTCACCACTTTTTACAATTTAGTTTTCATATGAATTTAGTTTAAAGATATAAGTAAACTTAATAAAAACGAGATTAAATTGAAATGTTATTTAAAAAATTTTTGTGAAAAATATAATTACACTTAATACCTTTTTTTAATGAAATTTAGGAATCAAACATGCAATAGCAATTGATTTTGATCCTGTACAAGAAATGCTTTATTGGACTGATGAAGAAGCTTGTGCTATTCGTAGAGCTTCTCTTGATGGTTCTAACCAAGAAAATATTATAACAACAGAAGTGGAAAATCCTGATGGCATAGCTGTTGACTGGCTAGCTCAGAATCTATACTGGACTGACACAGGAACAGATCGAATTGAAGTAGCCAGATTAAATGGTACAAGTAGGAAAGTATTAATCAATGAAGACTTGATAGAACCAAGAGCAATTGCTCTAGCTCCAGAACTTGGTTGGATGTTTTGGACTGATTGGAATGAAAAGCGTCCAAAAATAGAACGAAGTAACCTTGATGGTACCGAACGTATTCTTCTAGTAACTAAAGACATTCTTTGGCCAAATGGAATTGCTTTGGACCTTGGAAGATGGAAAATTTATTGGTGCGATGCAAAGACAGATAAAATTGAAGTTTGTAATATGGATGGCACAGACAGAAGAGAAGTAATTACAGACAATCTTCCACATCTTTTTGGATTGAGCTTATTAGGAGACTACTTATACTGGACTGATTGGCAAAGACGGAGCGTGGACAGAGCGCATAAACTTACAGGTAGTGAAAGAGAAGTTATTGTAGATCAACTTCCAAATGTTATGGGTCTAAAGGCAGTGCATTTAGGAAAAGTTAATGGTTCAAATCCTTGTGCAAAAAATAATGGAGGATGTAGTCATTTGTGTTTGAATCGACCTGAAAACAAATATGTTTGTGCCTGTCAAATTGGATATGAATTAACAAAAGACAAGAGAACTTGTGTGATCCCAGATGCATTTATGTTATTTGCAAAAAAGGAGAATATTGGAAGAATTAGTATTGAAAATGCAAATAACGATAATATTATTCCATTGACTGGTGTCAAAGATGCAAGGTAAATTTATACATATAATTTTCAATACAACTTTCGATAAATTCATTCTCAAATATTTTTTTTCACTTAGTATTCAAATTCTGTTTTAACACAAATTTATTATTTCACATTTTTTTGTATCAGCGCCTTGGATTTTAACATAGCAGACAATCGCATTTACTGGACAGATGTTAAACTAAAAACAATTACAAGAGCCTTTATAAACGGTTCCGATATGGAAAGAGTAGTAGATCTTGGCTTAGAAACACCTGAAGGTTTAGCAATAGATTGGATTGCTAATAATTTGTACTGGAGTGACACAGGAACTCGGAGAATAGAAATGGTTCGATTAGAGGGTTGCAGTAGAAAAGTTCTTGTTTGGAATGATATTATTGAACCTAGATGCCTGGCTCTTGACCCTAGCAGAGGGTAATTATGTTGAATTAATTTTTAGTAACAAATTTTATATCTTAATCATTAATAATAACATTATTCACACAAACTCATAATAACAACTAACATATTCAGTACAATATACACATATATAATGTTTAGAAATAATTCTTTTAACACATTTCTATACTTTCTTAATCTATATAATTAACTGATGATTGTTCATAACATAAATACTTTTTTTTAAATAAAATTAATATAAATTGATTATTTTTTAGTCATATGTATTGGACAGAATGGGGAGATTCTGGAAGTATAGAAAAATCATTTTTAGATGGTACAAATCGCGAAATAATACTGTTTAATATTGGAAGAGCAAATGGTCTAACAATTGACCATTCAACACAGAAATTATATTGGGCAGATTTACATACTCCAGCTATCGATAGTTTTGATTTGCGTATGAGGAAACGAGAGGCAATTATAACACAAAATATTGGATACCCATTTAGCATTACACAGTATCAAGATTACATTTATTGGACAGATTGGAATACAGGTAAAAGGATGTACATACGTTAATTAATAATAATTGATTATATTATTGCTTTAATAAAGTTCAATGATATGTTTTAATTTATGATAGAAATGATTAATATATTATTTCAATCAACAGGCGATATAGAGAAAGCCAATAAAACGACAGGAGCAAATAGGGTGAAAATACATAACAAGTTAGAATCCGTAACAGATTTATTAGTTTTTCATGCATCTAAACAAGCAGGGTGGAATCCTTGTGCATTGAAAAATGGAAATTGCAGTCATCTTTGTGTTGCTTTGCCTGGTGAAAATGAAAGTGTGTCCAATTCTTTTAAATGTGAATGCCCTACACACTATACCTTGGGAGAGGATAATAAATCTTGCATTGGTTTGTATATTTAAATGGTTACACTCTAAGCTATCATTTCAGAAATGTTTGATTTAGTCCAATCATTCTGTATGTATAACCAATAGCCGGTTCGATATAATAGATAATAGAAGATCTGTCCAGCTTTCCAACTTTTTAAAGTTGAAAAGCACTAAAATCCATTGACAGGGGAACCACTCTGAGGCATCCAAAAATAGGTTCATTTTTGGGACTCTTTTTTTCATAAGTAATTACTAATATGAAAAGTTTCAAGTTGTCAGATAATATAAATGTAACTTTCAGCTCATTCTCTAATTTTTAAAAAGTAAAAATGTTACAAAATGGCGGAGTTATTCGCAAATTCCGAAACCTCTTCTGCTAGAACATCCATTGCTGGCAAGGACTGGAATGTCCGAAATAAAATATGCTGTGTAATTTATAAATAAGCATGTATTACCTACAATGTAATATAGGATTTTTAAAAAATTTAAATGATTATAAAAATGGCAGCAGTTCGAAGAAGAAAGATCTCTTTTTACAATAATTAATTTTAAACGTTCTTAAGAAGTTAAACAATTGAGATATCAAAAAAATCCTACGCTATATTGTAGGATACATTATGAAGAATATTCTCTCTAAATTTAAAGAAAATCGGATGTAGAGTTCCGGATATATTGTGGCGGCCTGGTCAAAAACATAGTTTCAAGAAGAACACACAAGAAGTTTTAGAATAAGATTCTTCTGTGATAAAGAATGGTTTAAAACATTTTCATTTCAATCAGCCATTCCGCCAGTCTTTTTTTGAGTTGCTCTATGCAGTCATCGAGCTCTTTTACTTTTCTCCTTCGTCTTTGCTGCAGCGTTACTTAACCATTACTCGTCCGTTATTTTGCAGAATTTGAACCATAACCACATAAACCATGCACCTAAGTCTCCACGTATATTTTTAGAAATATTCTCAAACAGAGATACTATACATTAACACTCGGTTCTAAACACTTGTCATTTACACCCGATTTGCAAATCACTTACCCAGCCATAGTCTTCGACACATTCTAACCCATATTCATACTTTATCGCATACTATATAGGATATGAAAAACTTTAATCGTATTCGAGAAAACCATATTTTTTTATGGACAACAGAAAATTGCTTTGAAGTAATATCTCCATATTTCATCTGGATACGCGAGGCCTTTATGCACGGTACGACCCGTCCTCATATCCATGGCTGTAACTTTTCCAGATGTTATACCGTTATTATTGCTGAGGTTTTCGGGTGTAAGCCGTGTCCTGATGCAATTCCTAGCACTTCCCCACCGTTTCAGGGGGTCGAATGACACACCAATACTGTATCAGTAATAACTATATGATGCCAGGCCGTGAAAGCCTCAAATCTCTGATTCGCCAGATGTTTACATTTTGAATAATCGCTTTGACATAATATTCTATACATTTGAAACTTCAAGAAAATTTTTTTAAAATTTGATTTTTTAAAACCGTCAGGGTGGTGTACCCCCTTAAATAATAACTCATTTCTGTTTAAAAGTGAAAAGATGTTTTTTCATAAAAGTTGTTTGACTTTGTGAAGTCTTTAGTAAATTGTAAACGAACATTTAATCGCATCATACCTTTTACGTACATAATTTATGTTATAAATGTTCGTAAATAATAATTAATTTAATTTGAACATGATTATATTATTTTATTTACAGCACCGAATACATTTATGATGTACAGTTTACGCAATGCAATTTATCGCTTTCTTCCTGACACTAACGATTGTTCAGATATAGTTCTACGAATTCAGAGTCTAAAAAATGTACGGTCTATAGAATTCGACCCAATAACCCAACATATATATTGGATAGATGGTCGAACTTCATCTATAAGGAAAACTCTGGAAAATAAAACCCATTCTACTGTAATGATTTCTGGAAGTTCTGGACATCCTGTGGACCTAGCTCTAGATCCCTTAGGAAGACTGTTATTCTGGTCTTGCGCTATACATGATGCAATTAATGTTACGAAACTTGATAATGGCTCTGCTTTAGGCATTGTTGTAAAAGGCGATGGAGAGAAACCAAGAAATATTGCAATACATTCTGAAAAGAGATTACTTTTTTGGACAGATGTTGGAAGAAAGATGAGAGTCATGCGCAGTAAAATGGATGGAAAAGAGAGGGTTGTGATTGCAACTGATTTAGAACAGCCAACCAGTATTGCAGTTGATGCAGTTTCAAATATTATATACTGGGCACACGGAAATCGAATTGAATGTGCAGGCTTCGATGGAAACAATAGAAAAATTTTAGTATCTCCAGTTAAACAAGGATCAGTCATATATCTTGCTGTCTTCTTTGATTTTGTTTACTGGTTTGATAAAGAAACATTAAGTTTAGAGCGTGTTGACAAATCTGGAAATGGAAGAAAAATGATTATGAACAAGATGCTTACAGATTTGATTACAGTGAATACTCCACAAAATGATATAATGAAAACACATATTTGTAGTCCGTTTCGGGATTATGGAGGATGCTCTCATTTTTGTATTGGAATCAGTTCATCTAAGTAAGAATAACATTTAAGTTGTACATACTAGGTGCACTAATAAGTAATCCACTATGTTTGTAATAAACTTGAAACATGGTTTAAATTCACAACATTCTCAAGCTCTTCTTTTCCTAAAATAGTGGATATTACCCGAAAATACGAACAGATATTACTGAAATATAATAAACTTTCGATTTTCTAAGAAGTAGATATTAAATTTAATAAAACATAGTGGGTTTTATTCATTAGTACACCTAATATATGTACGTATACTTTAGTATAATCTTGCATATTTCAAATACACATAAACAGTATTACTTACAGGTGTTCTTGTCCAAAATCTCTGGTTCTCTCTGAAGATGAGAAAACTTGCAGAGCTGCACCAGCTTGTGGATCCGATCACTTTACTTGCGCAGCACCTAGTTCTGCAGTGGCAAAAGATTGTATACCTGCAACATGGAAATGTGATGGTCAAACAGACTGTCCTGATGGAAGCGATGAACTAGGTTGCCCAGCTTGTAATCGTGAACAATTCAAATGTCAAAGTGGTCACTGCATTGGTAAATATTAACATATGAAGATAATACAAATCATTAGTTGTAAACTAAAAGTGGGACAATTGTGATTTATAAAACACTTGTATATATTAGATATGTCATGGGTATGTGATGGAACTGCTCAATGTCATGATGGTTTGGATGAAGCTCATTGTTGTCGTCCAGGTCAATTCCAATGCATTGGAAACGGTGTTTGTATTGCTGGTTCAACTCTTTGTGATGGCTGGGACGATTGTGCTGATGGTAGCGATGAACTTACATCTGCATGTACATCTGCAAACAATCCTCGACAAGAGAACAGCGCATTAGAATCTGGGAAAATCACCTATGTCATTGTTGTACTTATTGCATTGACTGCAACAATAGCGGCAGTCGCTTTTGGATTTTATTATTGCAGAAGAAAGTTTATAAACAACGAAGAATTACCTGATATCTTACACGACTCTGCTGGAGATCCTTTATCGCCGAAACCAGCAAGGTTGGTGAAACCGATGTTTACTCAGAAAAATTGTAGAAAAGACTTAAAAATAGGAATGGAGACTGTAAGGATGTCGATGCTGAATGGGAGTAGTATTGGATCAAGTTATGACCGAAGTCATATTACTGGTAAGTTCTTTTTATGAAATAATATTTCATGATTAATCAATCAAACACAAATTGGAAGTATTGTATAATTTGACGATACATAAGATTTCTTTTTAATTCAATATGATATAATTGAAATTTGATTACAAATAATTTGAATGGTATTTAGGCAAACAATTACATATTCTACTTCAATGAAACGATAAAATTGTATTTGAGTAATATAAATTTTTCTTTCATTTTTCTTGTTTTAGTATTAGATATTATGTACTATCTTACAGAAATTTCAAGATTGAAAATATATTTATAAGAGTGTTTTCATATTTGTATACTGCAGAAATATTTTTCTGCGTGAACTCTTCATGCCGAAAGTTTTAACGTCTGTGATTGTCCAGAATTGAGGTAATAGTTAGGATAACAGTCACATTTAGCCGTAAAAGATAGTCTTATACTTCCTTAAAAGAATGGTCGAATACCTGCTTGTTGTGGGCGAGTAAGTCTGCAGAATGATTTTTGTTGTTGGACGTCAGTTTGCTTCGATTTATCGTGAAAGTAATGTAAGAAAAGATATTTTAAAATATAAAAATGGATAGTGATTCTGTGACTGCAAGTTGTTCTCACGAAGTAGCAGCTATCGATAGCGAAGTCTAGATAGATATGTGGAGTGCATGGAAGATATGTGAAGACATGCTAAAAACGAATAATTACACATTGGAATCGCGGTCTACGAAAATTTCACAGATAATCACACAAATTGCGAATGACATGTACAGTCGTATAGTTACCCTAACTTTTACCTCACTTCTGCTTAACAATCGCAGGCGTTGAAACTTGCGTTATGACGAATTCACACAGAAACATATTTTTGCAGTACTTAAATATGAAAACACTCTAATAAATGCATTTTCAATCTTGAAATTTGTGTAACATAGTACATAATATTTAGTATATAATATCTAATATAAAGGAAGAAAACAGAATGAAAAGAAAACAACAGAGAAAAAGAAGGAATAAAAAAGGAATTTTATATGTCCCTTGGATTCGAACCCGAGTCCATTTGACATTTGCAAAACTTTAAACCAGGGGTGGCCAACATCATTATATATAATATATATGATCGACTATTTTTCTTAAAAATGTGTCGCGATCTACCTACTAAAATCTTGACATTTAACACATTCAAACATGTGTCCTGTGTACTAATAAGTGAGTCTATGAGTCACGACAAAATTGCGTTTGCGCGTTGAAATCGTCTCCTGCCGGCTATGATCGACCAAAAATCGTTTCACGATCGATTTGTTATATTACTTTCACATAGGGCCGTTTCAAAAGCGACTCCACTACCGTGCTTTTCTCTTGTTAATGCTTTAGTCTAACACTGTTTTTAACCAGTACACCAAATCTTAAACGGTATCATATGTAGACATTTCTACTTCGTAACCCATTGTGATTCCATAGTTCAGAAGTCCCAGTTGCCACCAACAAAACGTAAAATACGTATATACCGTAAAATCACTAAAAATAGACATACCCTGTTTTTCCTCTTATCCTTCATATGTTGTTACATGAGTTTATTCATTTATATTTCCTAAATTTTAAGCTTTTCATCACATATGGATGTTTAAGTAAAAAGAAAATAATAATCAGAGTAAAAGTAACTTATTACCAGAACTTAATAGAGAAAAGTTATAGTTTACCATTCTGTATTTTTTAACAGTATGTATGTAGTTCTAATTAGTTAATCAAAATATTACATATTATACAGGGTGTTCCAAAAAGATGGGACAATCTGCAACATGGATATTTCTCATACAAATATAAATCGAAAAGTCTTTTACTGTTTTGTAATTTGAAGCTCCATTTTCGAAATATTAGGAGTTAAACGAACTCATACGTGCGCGCAGATACAGAGAAGAACATGTGGCCCATCGCTCAGCTGATCGTTAACTGCTAATTGTAAGTCGAGTTCGTTTAACTGCTAATATCTCGAAAATGAAGCTTCAGATTATAAAACGGTAAAGGACCTTTCGATTTGTATTTGCATGAAGAGTATTCATGTTGCGGATTTTCCTAACTTTTTGGGACACCCTGTATAATATGCATAGATGAAAGTTAAATAAATAATTAAGAAAGTACTCTACGTATTATTTCAGGTGCATCAAGCTCAACACGAGGCAGCTCAGCAGGAGGTTATCCTCAAGAAACATTAAATCCTCCGCCAAGTCCAGCAACGACAGCAAACTCTACTAGGTGCTCAAGCAGTAATGCATCTAGATATAAACCTTATAGGCATTATAGAAGCATTAATCAGCCTCCGCCTCCGACTCCTTGCAGCACAGATGTCTGTGACGAGTCGGACAGCAATTATCCAGCAAGATACAGATATGAAAGTGAACCTTTTCCTCCGCCTCCTACTCCAAGGTCTGTTTATCAAAGTGATGCAGGAATTAGTTGTCCTCCATCCCCTAGTTCAAGATCATCTACATATTTTAGTCCACTTCCACCGCCACCTTCCCCTGTTCCTTGAAGACATTGCAATTTTCAAATATTTTATTTTTAAAGAAATTCTATTTTTAAAAGTTTTTAAACGGTTCTAAAAATTTGGAGAATTTATTAGAATGTTTCTGTTTGATTTGTAGAGAATTTCACATTATTGATCGCGTTTGTTTTTAATGTTCGGCATTGGAAAAAGAAAATATTTAAAAATGTGTATTTATTCATACTTTTAAGAAGCGTGACGTAAGAAGAAGTTTTATAGTTTTAATTAATCAAAAGTACGTATGTGCTGGTGATTATGAAAGTGGTTTAAGTACGAAATTTAAAAAAATTGAACGTGTTACGTATTTGATGTTACATCGATTTGCGTTACAATAATATGAAAGAATTCTTACAGAATATTTACTTGACTTATACCACTTTCATAATCACTGACATACATACTTTACCTAATACTGACACATTAAAGACTTTCAAACATAGCATCTCAAAGAGAAAAAGTAAAAACTTAGCATTCAAAAGAAAAGTGACAACTCCTTTGATGACGCCTCTTTTTATGTACGATCAAGTCTGATTTTGATATCATTTGGATATAATTAAATTTTTTATAATTATTTCTGTAAAGAAATTAATACCATTGTGCCTACTAACTTAACTTTATAACATAAGTGATTCGATCATAAAGTACTGTAAATATTGTAACAATGTATAAAAATTGTAAATGAGTTTTAGTCACCGTGATACAAAGTTGTTTAAGAAAAAAATTCTCTTTATATAAGTGTTACTTTTAAGTTTTTAGCCACTTATACTCTTACTCATGCACATATAGTATACATATTATTAAACGGAAAATTATCTTAAGTTTTGTACCTACAAAGAAACATCAAAATCTGTATTACAAATTAAAGTATTCACCATAGTAATCGTTAGGAAAACAACTTCTCAATAGATAGTAGATTTAATAATTATTTCGAACAGCAATTAAATCAAAATAATAGTAACAAGAATGTAACGATAAATTTATATAATCTAAGAATATTTAAAATACGTATGCGTAGGAAATATTAAATTTTTTAAAGGTTTGCAATGAAAATAGAAAATACTCGCATTTATTTATATCTTTTAAGTGCATCTCAGCAAGAACGTCGGAAATGAGCATGTACTTTTTTAATGCTATGTAATGAGAAACGACACTGTTTTTGCAATTAATAATCGAACTGTGCCATAAAACATTCAAATTCATTAGAAAAGTAAATACAAAATCCAAAATCTTGTGTAAAAAATGCACAACATATCATATTTGTGAAGATGGTTTTTACCTCGCACTGCCATTACATAAGCTTTGAAGAATAAATCTTCTATTAAATTATTATTCTCCTTTAGCATTAAAGACTGAAATAACAATTCTATATTTTTTTTACATTTACAATGAGAAATACATTGTTCTATATATGTAGTATAACTGTATAAAACAAAATAAAATTTTTGTTACATATTTTACATACCACTTGTTAATTCATTTACTCAACATTTCTTGAATATTAAAAAAACATTCATAGCTTAAGTGTTATTGAACAGTAAGTCACTATCTGATTAAATGCAGTTTTATTTTCCATTGATGTTTACTTGTTTCTATGTGATTATCGTTTATTGTTTTTTTAAGTACAAAAGCGTAAATGAAATTTGTCTATTTATTCAAGTTTATTTAATATTTACATACGCAATATTTGTGTACAATCGAAGTATGTAAAAATAGTAATAAAATACCGAATAAAATACTATATATACTAATGCACTATACAGACGCACTATTTACATTGATCCTTTATTTATTTCTATCTATTTTATAGATTTTACAGGCCGACGCGCGCCATAAATACGAACGATTCTTAACCTTTCTTCTTGCTTTTTTGTTTGTACAAATATACATACACTTAGACTTCTTTGCTAACAGAATAAATAACTGTTTCTTACACAGGTACGGTTCATTTTCGACTGTAGAAATTGTTACTTTACTTCAAAAATTGTATTTTCAACATGTATTTATACCACTTCTATATTATAAATTTTAATTTTTGTCAATCAAAACCTTGAGAACGTTCGAAATTTCAATTTAAAAGCATGGATAAAGAAGTAATTAAATAATATAAGTATACGACGGTAACAGATAATTCAAACTTAATGCGATGGAAAAAAACATTACATGGTTTACATTTTGTTACAAGTTAAAATTCAAATACTGATATTTAAACTTGTTAAAAATAAACTGTGCTTAAATTATCATATTATACTTTCCGTATTTTACATACAACATATCCATATTTGTAATGTATAAGATGTTTGTAAATTTTTAATACGAATTCTGAATTTTTGCAAACTTAGTGCATTCTTTTACTTAACATATTTTCGATTCAGTTCCCTGCACATTCTTGTCAATTGTTAGATCACACTTTTAGGTTTAGTGTTATTTATTGTTTAGAGTATGAAATAATTTCGAAAGTACATCACAATTTCTAATTATAATCTTGAGTAAGTAGTAATCACATTTCGGAACGAGTTAAATATAGAGAACATATGTCTGCTTACAAAAATTAGACTGCTTATAAATTATAAATGTTGTATTAATTTTTGGTATTAATGTGAGATTCAAAATTTAAACATTTTATCCATAATTCATACAAATTTGATGTATTTTATTATAAATATTTTATTTCAATGTGAATTAGCTGAAATGAATAATAAAAAAATTGTAATTATAAACTTGTAGTATTCAAATACATAGTTTGACGCTCCAATGTCTAAGACTTAGCAAAATGCGTTTTGCAATATTCACCTATAAGTATAAATAAATACAAAAATAATTATTGTATAAAAAAATTTATATCGAAATAGTGAAGTAGAAGTGAATATTACTTTAGAACTTTGAATCAAAAAGTCTTAATCTATAAAAAATTAGTATTTGTCTTTGTTATCAATAAAAATCGATTTTATATTGGTTGAAATCAATTTTTTTCTACTTGAACAATGAACAATCAATCAATTGGTTAAATAACAACTAATACCAACAGATATCTATTATAAATTATACAAAACGCTTTCTGTACGTAATTATAACGTAATTATCTCAATTTTACTCCCGTTAGAAAATGTTTTCCTTTCTAAAATGGAAAACATCTTAAAATAAGGCACAATAAGAAGGATCGAAATCTTAATTTCCTAACATTATATCTTGTATCATTCTTTTATAATTAATCAGATCATCGATTATACGTGTAACAATAATCGTCAGTTTTAACAGTATTTACCTGATTCGCATATTCACAACAATTTTGAAAAGTAACATTTCTATCAATATTTGTTTTATTGCTCCCACCTATCTAAATTTATTACAATTAATTGAAATATTATCCCTTTGAATACCGTGACAATACTCGTACGGTTGCGTCATACCAAGCAGGATGGTCTATTATTATACATGTACGATTTCGATTTTTTCGCGCTAAATATTACTGCCGCACAAGCACTAAGATCAGCTTTATATTTGACTGTATGCTATTGACATCTTAATTTGGTGTATGCTTAGTTTCGTGTATTGAAACTCAGTAGCCGAAAGGTTAATAAAACCTTCGTATACAACACAAATCATTCACATCTCTCTTCATTTCACAAAAACAAATGATACATGATAATAATGAACAATTAGCAATCGATTGAACTTCGCAAACGATAAATTTAAAATCTCTTAAGTGTACCTTAACTGTACAAACAGTCAATAATGATCTCAACGTTCCATCCAAAAATAGCACTATTTACTATCCACTCAATTTAGCAATATGTACCTTAATGCTCTGTCGTAACATTTTACTAATGCCTTTTAAACCATTCTCATTTTCGCTGCACATAAATACTTCATTATGAAAATATTTAACTAAACCAGTCACTAAATGGTCAACGGCATCCACAGCCAAGAACAGCCATGTCTTGATAATTTTTCAGAACTACTTTATTCTCCTCGTCAAGATAAAGCATAGATATTGAACTAAGTGCAGTTGGTACGCAGCAAGCTTTTGGCACCAAGCTTGGTTTTGTTGAATAAACCAAATTTTGAACAATCGCATGATTTGTAGAATTTAAATGATCTGCTAGAGGGAAGGGACAGTCACCGTGACAGTAAAAAGCATCGTAACCAGGAGGAGCAACGATCCAATCATTCCAACCAACGTCTGCAAAGTCAACGTAAAGTGGGTGTCGTCTGCAGTTTTCACGACCATCTTTTCGTCGATTTTTTCGAAGTGCAGCCCTTCTTGCACGACGATCCATTATTTGGTTTGCAGAAGACATTTTGTACCTATTGAATATTAATGTATAGTTTAAATTCATTTATGTAAATTGTGTTAAAAAATATAAAAAAAAATAACTATTTGATTCTTATGAAGTTAAAGAATTTTTTTTAAAATCGTTTGCGACAGTATTTTAGATAATGAATAAATACGAACTTTATAATAAATTCTTTAAATCACAGTTTAAATGTAAAGACAATGATACTTATAATAAAGGTACAAAATTGAATTACGTTATTAAAGAAAAAATAAAATGATAACATTTTATACCTGCCATCATCTGTGTACGTAAATAGCATTGGCCGACTAATGACCCATGTGTCATTTCTCTCATTTATACTCCTTTTTAAACGTACATGCTCCTGTTTAGTTCCACGCATATGTACTAAGAGTCCATGATTATTCTTAGGATCCTGCATCCACCTCTCGACAGCAGGATGAACATCTACACTAATTGTGCCATTCTTCCTAGTATTAACTGGTTTGCTATCAATTAAACGTAACTGTGGAGCACTATGTCCCTTTGTACCAGGACGCAAAATATCATATACAAGAATTCTTCCCAGCTTCTGTGTGGAGTCTTTTTCACTTAATATAGATACACGAGAAACACTTAATTCTGCAGCTTGTAATTTCTCTCCTGAAGGTATACTGCTTAAGTCAAAAGAAAGACGAAAACGATTGGGAGACTGAAATTTCTGGTCTAGGTCACTCTCTGTATTAAACAAAGTATACTTTAGTAGTGATTATAATTATCAATATTTATAAGAATATATTCTATATCTAGAGTTAAAACTTTATACAATAGTGTGCATTAACTCATGTATAATGAACAAATATCTGCATATTTTAAATTAGAATTAAACCCTCCCTTAGTAATAGTGTGTAGGACAAACCTACAAGATGATTTGATGTTATTATAGATCACAGATGTTTATGTGAATATAAAGTTTATAGACTACTTTATAAAAATGGAAATGATAGAAACTTTTAAAATTAAAACTGTGATAGGCTTTACTGAAGTTATTATCTTATTGTGTTTTATACCTTCCTACATGCTACGAGTATTGTTTAGCAAAACTCCTAAATCTTTGTTTTGGACTATTTTTGAGAGAAACACTTCTAAAAAGTATGAACAAAAATGTAGGAACTGACCTATAATATGTAGTTTTACATTCTTCTTACATCTTCCTACATTCTACTTATGTTATAATATACTGTATATGAATTTTATTATTCAACTGTTTGTTATTTAATAATAACTTAGGAACATATTTTTTATATAATTCTGATGTATTGTGATTTTTAAAATAATATTGTTAATACAGATTATACTTACCAACATGAGAAAAAGATCTAACTGTGTTAGCAGACCTGGTATGAATTCCAGGTCTAGCAATATCAGCCATACCAATGGTATTTTGTTTAACAAAAAGTTTCTTTAAAGACTCTGGAACATAAGCTGAAGCTTGTGGTTTTGGCCTTTTTGCAAAACCAAGAAGCGAAAGTAGGCTAGCCTCTATTCCAGCGATTGCATGTTCCTGTTCTCCGATGGAAAAGTGTTTGGTAGTGTCAGAATACAAATGCATGTGAATGTTTGCTTTGGTAGTTGCCAGCAGCAAGCTTGCTGCGACGAAAACCAATCTCAGTGGCAGCAACATGCGCATTGTGATGTCGTTGCTCACGGATGTTGCCTCCCTAATAACAAAAATGTAAATTTTTACAATTTATATGTACACATACATAAACTTCCTTAGAACATAACACAATACATTTCTCTTGTTAATAAATGTTTCAACTTTGTTGTATGTATTATATTTATTTTTCTAACAAATGTATTAATGGTAAGATAGATACATAAATTAAGAAATGTTTCTTGTAACATATATAATATTATATTTTTTACAACGGAGTACGTTCAATCTTATAAGGCATGTTGGACCTAGGAATAATGATTTCTAAACATGTAGTAAATGATAAGTCTAAGGTGTTACATGTAAGATGTGGCAATAAGTTATTGTCACATGTCAACAAGAGATGCCAAAAGATGATTTGGTATAGTTTCTTTAAAACATTGACATCTTGGCTTTACCATGGCTTTACCACAGGAGGTATATGTCTCATATTTATGTTCCTTTATAATAGATATTGGCAAACTCATGTGGCAATTTGAAGTTCATCACAGAACTAGAAATTTTTAATTCCTTTGTTCCTTTTTAAAATTATGAACTAAGTTTATCTAGGAACTAAATTCATCCAAAAGTTGATTCCATTTTATTAAAGGATAAATAATAGTAATATTCAATTCTTCACAACCAGAATTTTTCATTTATAATAGAAATCATTGCATACTCGTAAATCCAATATACCCTCAAAAACTTATCTGAGTCCTATATTATTTGTATATTTGTCATCACAAAAAAATACAGGGTCAATAATTTGTTAAAATGCAGGGAAGAATTGTGTCATCCTTAGTACTTATACAACTATTAAAAATTAAGTTGTATTATGACCTATTATTAGATGATTAAATAAATAAATAAAAATGAAGTTTTCAAGATTATCAGCAGTATGACTTTATATTTGTATAAGTATTTGTCACTCACACAACTTACGAAAAAAAGTGCAGTAATAAGAATACATTGCATTTTATACAACGTTTATTAAAATTTTTGGAATAAAACATGCTTAGAATTACAAATTAGAAACATGAGAAAACATGTTTTCTTTCTTGAACAGGGCCTTTGCATGCAGACAAATGCATTACATCGCGGAAAAAAATCAACAATAAATCACCTAAGACTTCTGCTTTGTAATATTTAACTTGTATACAGACAGCTCTGTTTAAGAGACAAAACACGTGACATCTGAAGTTTTTCAACACAAATCTCTCATGTCTAAAAAAAAAGATACGTCACAGTTCTTGAGAGCTCAATATCAACGGTTTAAATACAGACCTTGATTAATCTTTTTGGGACTCTAACGATTGTATTAGGGCATTTGCAGCAAGTAAATAATGCGGGTAGCAGACACTATTGGTGGCTCTGTAGGCAACACACGACTTTTCAGTAGCAAAAACACATGCAGCGGCTTATACCGAGAGAGCCACCTGAGATTCCTGAGAAAACATTAAGAAAGTCACTATATTTGTTCCATCAAAAATAATGAACTAGTTAACATATTGAATCTGTGTTCAAAAAATTCTAGTATTCAATTCATGACAATAATATTAAAGATCTTTTTCAAAATAGTTCCCTTAATAAGGTCTCTAAGGTTTTTAAAGTCTTCAAGATAATATTGGGTAGTATTTTACAGATTGCAATTTATCAATAAATTCTATTTAAACATCGAACTGTCACACGTGCAGTATTCATGAAGTTTATTACATACTCAAATTAATGACTAAAAACTATCGAAATGCTTGAAAGTACTTAAGTTTCTTTTGAAAATCTGCGCAAACACTGAAAACCATATATCAATGCAAGCGGGAATTATTTTAATAATGTAAATTTGTAGCGTCAGATTCAAGTGCAATTGAACTAATTGTTATAAATTCAGTCCTACAATAATAAGTATTGCGGTTTTATTGTCCTATTGCTAATAATCAATTTTCATAATATAAAACCATGTGAAAATACCCTTGCGGATAAAGTACACAATATTAAATAAAGTTAAAGAGCTGAAGTAACATCCTGTATGTAAACTTAATCGTATAACGTAATCGCCATTCATATATTGTCATAAGTGTATTAAGATATTTTTAAATTATTCCACTGTACTATTCTTTTTATTATTTTATTTTATAATTGAAATGAAAGTTTTTAAAAATTGCATTTATACATTAAAATAAAGTATGATATCAGTATACCTAATAAGATACAAATAATATTTATTTGCTAATTAAACATTTTAAGGACACATATATTCTTTTATAACCCATACCGCTTGCGTAGAATATTTGCATTTAACTCAGGCAAATTTGCGTTTGATAGATAAACACGAGAATTGAATGGCACAGAAAGATACGTCCAATTTTACGACTACACGTTTAAAATATCACGAAAAAGTAGGCATCATTCCGAAGGTACCATAGAAATGCACGACCACCCAAAACATTCGACATACATACCTAACACAACTCCAACTCAAAGCTATTAAGTTCGTACTGGGGAAACCTTCCTGCTTCCAGGGATTGAATTCTACCTGTTTCTACCTGTAGACAAATATTCTATCGCAAATTCACATGTTTCTTTCCGAACCGTTAACTTTTTCACTTAAGAAACAAAATACGAAATATCTGGGAAGCTTTCTAGATTACCTTCATTTAAAACTATTATTAAAAAAGTTTTAACGTTTTACTATAGTAGATTTTCAAGATCATTATAAGAATATACATATTCATATTTATTATAATAAATAAAAATTGTAACACAATTTAAATACTTATACTTTGTTTTTTCAAATAAAATCTTAAATAGGGAAACAAACTTTTATTTAATTCCAATATTCGTAAATTAAACTACGGAGATGTAAATTTGCATAAAATCTTCAATTACAATCAAATTAAACAAACGGATGCTATATTTAGTTGGAATTATTATTTTTGTTATCAACTGTAATAGGTTAAAAATTGATCAGGAAATATTAGAATTATTAAAAAAATAAATGTTGAAAAATAGAAAATATAATAATTTAAATATGTAATCATGAAGTATCTCAGTTAGTTAAACCTGCAATGCCAAATTTTGTTCAATGCCTGTTATAAAGTTATGGCTACAAGTTTGATGCAAGATATGCAATAAACAACTTGCGCGCACATTGACAGCAACATATGCAGCGAATTGGCTCACGCAGACTCTATTTCGTTTTTGCCTCCCATTTGACACAAGTATGTTGCAAGACTTGTTGCCAATTTGCTTCAACATTTTACCAGCTGGCGTTGCCTGCAAAACCCAAGCCAAACGCGGAAACAGATGGCTATGGTTTTTTAGACAACTTTTGTCATTATTTGCTAGCAATTTGCTCGAAACTTGTACACAATTGGTTATCAGGAATTATAATGATGCTATATAATACAGTATATAATAAAACCGAGTTATAAAGTATTTAATTTCTAATTGAATGCAATTTTTACTATAGCTGTAGTAAATTAAAGTTCACGTAATCTATGAAAAAATGTAAGTAGGATAAAATAATGATTTTAGGAAAGGTACGAGGATTTCTGAGAAAGTAATTTGACGAATTAATGGAGCCTGCAAATTTAACGAGGCAATGTGGATGACAGTGAATAATTTAATTGGTAAGAACAAATTGAACGTAGGATGTAACTGGCCTTCAAAAGTAACTGTAAAATATCGTTTTATGCTAAATAAAATCGGCAGAATATTTCTGTTGTAACGAAATGTGTAGAATAATTGTGTTGTCAGTATTTTATTGACTTCGTCATAAAAAATGTTTGTTAAAGAAATGTGTAATTTAAATAATTTACGTAGTTTGAAATTAAAACAAAATTTTTAATACTTTATTGGACATTAATTTCAATGTCATAAGATAAATTAAGAAGTAAGTTTATTTAGAGAAAGTCTAAAATTTGTAAAGGTTCTACAGTTTGAAATCAATTAATGGCTTGTTGAGCATTGTACTCAACGTTGCCGGTGGACAGGATTTTAGAGGTAAAACTTTAAAAATGAATGTAACATTATTACAGATATCGATAATTAATTTAATAATTTATTTGAATTAATGCATAATTAACGTTATTTTGAATTCGGAAATTGTTTTAATTAATTCTTGCAATAATGTGATAAACACTTTCAACAAAATAAAAAATATTTTATAATCATTAAATAGCAATTAAATAATCTGTAATTTTTATCAAAAATATTAATTTTCTCTTATTTAAATTGTTGATGTACTTAATATTAATTTATTAAACATCAGTCCTTACATAGCATACATATCTGTAACTACAACAAATTTCCTTCATGTAGATTTTCAAATGAAAACAATATCAATATCAACAAAATTAAATATTCGGCAATGACATTGCTTAACGTGATATTTTATATTTTTATATAACTAAACACATGATCAAGATGGTATCAACAGTTTTTGCGTATTTATTTTCCAATAAAACCGTGTGTATTTAAAAAAAACCACTACAGACAATGGTTCGTGTAGTTACAACTAAAAGTATGTCAAATGTTAAACAATTTTAGATTAAAGTAGTAACAAGTTCAATTGTCTTGCTCTAGTACGATTATATCGAAGGATACGAGAAAGGAAAATTATTTACAGAAAATATAACTTCTAATGTGTATACTTTAGTTTACATTTCTTCTATTGCTGTCCTTATATAGTGGTCATCGAACGATTCGTTCGACTGATATTCTATGTATCGAAGAATGGAAAGGGCCTGCAAGTGTAAGTGCTGGTATCCTGTTTAACTAAAATATTGCACAGTTGAACTGAAGGAATGCGGCACGGATAGAGTAAGGATACAAGGTGTCGAGTGTACATAAGCAGCACGTCATCGTCTAAAATAATCAGGCCAGCCGCAATCGGGTAAAACTACTTCATTGAATCAATGGAAACGCGTATTTTTCCATGGTACAAAATCTACCATAACTTTAATTCGATAAAATTTAAACTTACCCGAGCTAATCGTAAGTCCGCCGTTTGAGGAGCCAAGACATTTCAACGAGTCCATGTAACCTCACTTGGGAACTATTGCCTCAAAACGCTTAAAACCTTGCTCCCGGGAGTCTTTAGTGTCGATACATCAATGGGGAATTCCGTTGCACTATTCGATATTTTCGCATTTACGCACCCAAAGAGAAAGAAAACCGAAACGAACAGTCAACAAACAGGGGGAAAACAAGCCTCGTAAAAAGTTTTGTTGAAACTTTCTATATAATATGTAGGTGGTTCACGACGAAACGTAAACGTGGTCTAGTAGTGACTAGTTTACCGAACACTGTGCTTCTCGGTACGAATAGAGAAGGTTTAGGATGGCACGCACTGATGTTAAGTTTAATTGGATACGCGGAAATCTTCGAGAAGTCGAGAGGAAGAGTAGAACTGTAGAATATCAGGAGGGGGAGAAAGATAAAGAGAGAGACAGATGGAGCAAAAGATCTGCAAAAATACACTATCACCACTAATAGCAGCTAATAGTAAATGATACAAGCTTAGCGCTGCCTGCGAATAGTCGGTAAACTAAAGTTCCAGTATTCTAGCATGGTTACATTTTAAATGTTACTACATTCATTTGTTTCATTAGAAAAATTATTTTATTATATTTAAATACAAACTTCTCTCAAATATTAAAAATTCTATCTGCTTTGAATCAGTGATTTTTTTTTCTTTAATTGTCTCTAACCATCACACAATCAATATTTTTCTTTGAAAATAAACATCAACGCAATGTACACACAGATTATACCCCCCCCCCCCAAAATACTTGAAATTGTTTGTATTCAGACCTACATGTCGTCTTCAAAACGTCTGGTAATGTCCTATGAATAGCGTATCTAGAGCCTGTGAGCGTGTCTTGTGAGAAAACGAGTTGTCTTGAAGATGTCTTAAAATGGTCTAACTAGCTATCTTAAAGACAGGTTAGAGCCGTCTCGGGAGTCGTCTTTGTAGGTAATACAGATGTGTTACAGACATCTTGTAGACATTTTAAGGCTGTCTTATAGATTTTTAATAGATGTGTTAAATATGGCTTATAGACGTATTAAAAATACGTTACACACAGTTTAAAGATGGTTTCAAGAAATCTTATAGACATGTGTCACAGACGTTTTACAAGTGAGGTAAGGAATAGTGGTTGAGAATAGATAAATGTTATTACAGTAAAACAAAATTTAATAAAAATTCATTTTATTTCAAACATTGATAAAGTTACATTATAAACGTAATATGTGTGTACAAACACTGTAGGGCTTGTATGTATAATATTTTGCCATGTGATAATAGTAAAAGGATTTCTTACACACTCCTTATTAATTACATTGTTTACCGATTCTTTTTTTTTTGTAAACACTTATTTTTGCACTTCCGTTTATGATTTTTCGCACTATACTGTTCTTTTCATTACT